TACGTACCTTTTCCTAAATGCCAGATATCAAACTGGTGGTTGATGGTAGCATACTTCTTTTTCATGGTGGCCCCAATTGATCTGTGACGGTCTGTAACCACTGCCTTGACTGGAATTTTGTGGACGTCCAAAACACGGTCTAGAACACGCTGAAATCCGTCTGGTTCCATGTTTTGAGAGTATTTGACCTATAATTAACGTAAAATGAAAATTTGTAAGGTGTTATAAATGTTATAAAGTGTGAAATTTAATATTCAAAACAAAATACTGAATATTACATAAATAATGCAGTCAACATTTACAGGAAAGCTAATACAACCAGGTGATATTGCTACAAATACACATGATATCTATTACTATTAGGATAAAAAAAGGTTTAATACCTCTGATACTTGTATGGGTTCGAAGTCCACAATCTTCTCGGTGTTCTTCTCCATTACTGTGTACACACAGTATTTGGCACAGTAACCAGGGGAGTCACACTGGGCGGCACCTAGCAACACTATTGGGCTTGCACTGCTCTGCAGCTTACAAATGTTACTGGCTTGCTCTGCTTGCCAATAGCGATGGATGGCCGGGAATACAAAGTCATACTGGATCCTGTAACACGTCCTGCTACTCATGACTTGCATTCCAAAAAGTTCCAGAACGTGCAGAACACGTGAAATGCTTTCTCCAGCAAGAACAATGGCAGCACTCAGCAGCAGATTCCCAGCAGATGTTACGTTGATAAAGGGTTGTGACTTCCACACTGCACTGTGGCCTGTACTGCACGTTACAGAGCATGTCAGCACCATCCCCTTGCTGAAGGTTTTCTCAACACTCATCACTGGTGCTCCACAAACCTGGCACCTTTTCATTAGTTTGTCAATGGACTGTTCGAAACAGACAAACTTGTGCTCTGTGATGACGTTACTCCTCTCATCATCCATCTCATCCATGCCAGCAAAGGACTCAGAAGACTCTGAAGAAGGTGGAAGATATTCGGATCCACTTGACATTTCCTGCAGATAACAAATTAATATTAGTTGCTTGCTACATTAGTAGGTTGCTATATAAGTTGGGTGACCTTCATGAAATGATAAGCATGCAATGTCAAAGATGGTATCTTGGTAAAGGCTGGTTGATATAGCATATATATATATATATATACATTATAAGCATACATTTTGAAACATTACACTGGGATA